CTGAGGACTAAATCCGCGCTTGCATTCATTGCATACTAAAAGTGCTTTATCCGAAAAAAAAATTAAAAAGATTTATTTTTTAAGCCTATTACCTAAATATGGCCTTTCAAAATCTGAATTTTTGTCGAATTTATGTTGTTTAGTAAAAATTCCAAATTTTCTTAAATCTAAATTTTTTTTTTAATTAATATTCTTTAACGTTAGTTTAATTGTTTAAAAATGTTTGCTCTTCAACTTACACTTGAAGTCATTAGTAGCAAATGTATGTACATATGTAACTTCTTAATTTCTTAGCTTCTTCACCCTTTCTGTTAATGTTCATTTTCCAATAATTCTTTCCGTTCTTTCGAATAGTCATTAATCAATTTGTACTTCCCCTTCCTCGTTTCGACGCTTTGCTTCACACTTTGTTAAATTCAAATTGTTATTTATTATCTTTAAATGGCGTTCATGGCTGAGTTAAAGAGACTTGCTACAGGTGTTTTTTGCGAAGACAATTTTTGTTAACGGCTTAAGAAGCAAAAAGAAGAAGAAAAAAACGTGAGTGTTCCTCGTTTATAATTTTAGTTTTTTTTGCTTATTTTTTATTTCGTGTGTTTATCATTTCGCCTGGGCCTAAACCGATAAACGTTTGTAGTACCAAAAAAGAAGATAGAGTTTTTCTGAATTTTTTTTTAACTTGCAGTTTCATACAGATATCGCTTTTAACATCTGTTTTTTTTTGGCATACATGTATGTAGGTATAATGTATTATAAAATATGTTATAGATAACTAAGTATGTTCTTATGCCGAACCAGTTTTCCCTGCTGGCTAACTCAAATTAGGCAGCTACTTATTTAATTGAGTGCATTGAACTGCCAGTGCTCATCAGCAATGGAAACTTTAGAAAATGAAAGTTTATTTATTTAGATTCGTTAATTAGTTTAGTATAATGAGACAGTCAAAGATTACAGTGCAAAATCATATATAAAGTACGCAACTATTCTGGCTTAACAAACACAAGTGGATTGCACTTCAGTGGAATAACTAAACCAACCCAAACAAAGCCAAAATGGTAAAGTTCTAATTCACAAAAAAAAAATCAAAATTAATAATTCAAAATCCTCTTCTTTTATTTCCAGAAATTGTTCTCCTTTGCCGCCTTAATAGCCGCTTTGGCCGTCGCTTGCGCTGACGTCTCCGAACTGGGTTACGGCTACCAGCAGCCTGCAGCTAGCGCTCCATCTCGTTCATACATTCCGCCAGCGGCATCTGCTCCTGCACCAGCCGTCGTCTCTGTCCCGGTACCAGCACAAGTGTACCAACCAGCTCCAGCTGCCGCTGCACCAGCTCCGGTCTTTTCTCCCGCTCCTGTTTATCACCCAGCACCTGCTGCCGCTGCTCCAGCTCCTGTCTTTGTTCCCGCTCCTGCTCCAGTGTATCAGCCAGCTCCTGCACCATCAGCTCCCGTCTCATCCTACATACCACCTGCACCGGCTGCCGCAGCACCTGAACCCGTTTACGCTCCAGCTCCAGCTGCCGCCGCTCCTGAACCAGTTTACCAGCCAGCTCCAGCTGCTTCTGAAGTGTATGAGCAACCCGCACAGGATGGCTACAGATACCGCACCGTCCGTCGTCGTGTCTACAAGCAACGTCGTTTCTAAGCTTCGAAATCGAATCTAATAACTAAAACCCTGTAAAGACCTATTGCTCCACTATGTGTTTGTGAGAAAATAAATTTGATATTACCGATCTACGTATGTCCAAAGAAAAAACTTCGTAACCTTTTCAAAATAGCAAAATCAGCGGGCTCAATTAGAACTGAGATGCTGGTTAAGTTTTAGATTTGTCGGGCCTTCCCAAAAATGTTTTCTCCAGTCTGATTTAAGCCACCATTTGCAGATAGATAAGAGTATACACGCATGGTGAGAGGACATTAGATAGGGAGGTTAACGCTGCAGTAGTCTGGCGACCTAAAACAAAAATTCGATGAGGAATTATTCGATAGTATCTCACTACTACTTTTGGAATTAGTTATGAGCATTCCTGTAGTACGAATTGACTTTATTTAATCTAATTTACGAAAATTGAGAGGCGGTAATGTGTAGTCTGAGAACCTCCAAATTTTAGGTTAAACGGTTCGAATTTGTCTGACCGAATGAGTATATTTCCATTTTAGTATTGCATTTATTCTTATAGCATTGCAGCTTGCCTAAAATTTCCCAAAGAGTTCCGCACCTAGGGTTTAAACCACTCAATTCGTCAAGGCGCAATCTACTCCTCTATAATGCCGCACAGTTACAGAAAAGATGGAGAACTTCATTTGTGATAAGGCACTCCAAGCTGTTCTGCGTGTTTGTCTATATATGTATAAAGATAGTGACCTCTAAGAGCATCAATTGTGTGAGATATATACTCCTTCGAGACCTACATATGTCGATCCCATCCGGGCCAAGTTTAACAGATCGTAGTTTTCCATCCTCCTCTCACTCGCGCGAGGATAGATTCTCTTAAAAGCAGTTTGCAAGCGGCGAAGAGAATACCAATACGTTTTTTACCCGAAAGAATTTGCTTAGTCCTCCCGGCCTCGAAAGTTCGTCCGCCATACAGTTACCCTCTATATCCCTATGACCGGAAAACCAAATCAGGTTTAGGCTGTTCTGCTTAGCCATTTTTAATTTAACTATGTTGGAACTCACAGCTTTAATTGCTGCCTGGCTATCACCCCTTTACCTTTTAAATCACTACGAAGTTCGTTTATAACCTCCATTATAGCTGTGCGCTCAGCCTGGAAGACACGACAGTAGTCCGCAAGCCGAAATAAATGGCTCAGGGTAGGTCTGCGAGGGAAGCCACTCCTCCGTTAATTTTTGAACCATAATTGAAAAGTTCTATACCACCGGGTGGAGTATAGTAGTTTTCTACCTATTCCTCCTTTGTTGGAGTTTTTTGTTCGGAACCAGAGTTTCAACACAATAGTTTGTATAAGCCGGCAAAAAGCTACATTTTTACATTGCCAGGTCTCTCTTAACCGAAGTGTAGCAAGAGCTTCTATCTGCTGGCCCATTTGATCTAGTGCCAGAAGATTCAAAAAGACATTCAAAGCATAATTTGGCTTAGTCTGGATTACACCGCTGATGCACATCATGATAATCTGTACTTTTCTGAGTAGATTAAGATTAGAAACCTTGGCTAAGGCAGACCATCATACCATAATTCCGTGAAGGAGAATCAATCAAACCACCACTGTACAAATCCAGCGACATACGAGTCGCCCGTTTAGCATCGTCGGTGTCAGTAGCGTTCTCTTTTATTTTCTCGTAAAGAGAAAAAGTGCCACTTTCTCCGAATCGACGCAGAGGCTACAATGCGTGAACTATCTTGATACTGGCTAGGATTTTTAGTTTTCAAGTTTATTGGACTTTCCATGCTATAAGGGTTCCTACTCGGGCGTTGTAGTCGCTATGAGATCCCTTGGTTACCTATGAACACATTGAGGCCATGCGGTGGGTTGGACTTTAACATTATAGGGCAAGGAGTCAGCGCAAGATCCAGTGCAAAATACGGTAGGGGCGCCTCAACCGTTACCTACTACCAACAACTCCCACGTTTTTAACGGGAGGGAGGTAGTCACTGCATTAACTTCAAAGCAATTTTTGTAGGGTCTCATCCTTAAATACTCAGGTAACAGAATACCGCAACCACCAGCTCAAGGCGGACCAACCACCAGCTCGAGACGGACAAATCAGAAACGTTGTCGAATTGGGGTGATCCGTTGATGAATGAAGGATCAAGCCGGGCGAGATGTTTCACCTTTCGTTATTTGTTCCCCAAGCAAAGGTTGAGGCTAATAGTGTCACCATCGTGAAGAAAGAGCAGGAGATTGAAAGCGAGAGGTGGAAAGGCATCACTTCCGAAGATCAGCCGTCGCGTTGCACATCACTCTTCTTTAGGCCAGCGTACTTAATCCCTATATAATTCCGAATTAACGAGTTGATCCAGTTCAACGCTGCCGCCTGTCTGTCTAAGCTTTTGGATCCAAAGAGAGTGAGGAGAGCAGTCCTCTTTGGTGGAATTTCACTTTTTTTTTGGTATCGCTGAAAAGTTTTTGGAGTGCGGTTGCCACAGTTCTGCTCTTAGATTAGGCATGTGTTGCCAATTAAGAAACCTTGTCTCTCCATATCGAAAAGTTTTGAACGCTAGCCCTTAGTACCAGCAATCAACTCGCCAAAAAGGTACACATTTTCATGTTTGCTCTTTTGCACTGCGTTCGTATTTCACTTCTTCATCATATGCTTCTTCTTTTCTACTTATTGTTAGTTAATTTAATGTATGCATTACCTCTCCAATAAGCCTGGCCTTTCAACGCTTGCCAATTTGACCATGACTTTGAGAAACATAAAACAAATTTCGCGTGCACATTTTTTTACTTTTAATTTTATTTTCGGATTTCATCAGCATTCGCCACTTACGCTTTACTCTGTAGGTCAGTTCTTCATCTTTGTTTGTCGTCATCAATTCCATTTTGATTAAAACTCAAAGATACATTTGTTACATTTTTGACAGCCAACAACTTAATTTAAGTCAAACAAATGGGCGCGCATTCGCATAAATTATATGCATTTGTTCAACCAACAATGGCTGCGCTTAATGAGTGCAATAAAATTAATAGAAAATCAAGTGATTCCCATGTCCAGCTCAGTTCCGTATTAGATAAGCAATTATGGTGAGTAATTTAAGCTAATAAATAGGTAGTAAAATAAAGTTGAAGAAGCGAACTGTAGTTGTGGTTTCAATGCTGGCTGTTCTTTTCTTTTTTTAGTTAGTACACTCTAAAAACTGCATGCAAAACTGCTACTGAAAAGTATTTATTTTTCAACCAGAACCTGTGGAAATATACGCACAAGATGTTCACGATTTTATTTTGAACATGAGATGTTTAAAAAATATACATAAATATACACATGAAATGTTTAAAATTGTAAAAAAAAATTGAAGAAAAAAATATATTTTTTACTAATAATAAAAATTAATTGCTCATATTTACTCAATTTTAAACACTTTGTGTGTAATTTTTCTCTACGTGACAAATTTTATATGTAAAAGTAAACAGATAGTGTTTAATTTTGCACACATTAGGAGGTTACCTCTCTTTACATGCGTAAATTAAAATAAAACATGTTGGAGCAAATTTTAAAAATATTATGTGTTAACTGTGAAATTGTGAATAATAAATGTTTAGAACTCAACAAAAAAAATTTGAAATTCGTTCTACGCCACACACATGATAAATGAAAGTAAACAAGCAGTGTTTAATTTAATGAACACGGTGTGTAAATTTGCATTCATTAAGAGAGGAAATCTATCTTAATATGCGAAAATTTAAACAACAATTTTTTAGAGTGTAGGTGTTGGTTTTTTTAATTAAAAATTCAGCGAAGAACCAGAAATTTAGCTGAAAGTTGTTCTCTAATATTTCTCTTTGAATTATGCAGAACTTTTGTTCTGTTACCTGTTCTATGTACTCATTAATATGCCATTTGCCAATTTGCAAGTTTTTATTTTAATTAATTCAGTTTTTATGGTCGTAGCTCCATTTGCCATTTTCATTAGTTTAAGTATTTTCCTGTTTATTGGCTGTTATTTAGAAGCATTTTATGGTTTATAGTTTTTATGTATGTATGTACGTATAAATAACATACATATCGCTAGCTTAGAGTAAAAAGTTACTAAGTCCATTTTTTATGATAACTTAAGTTTTGACGCTCAAAGCGTGGAAACTTAGAATGGAAAACTTGCTTTGTCCAAAGGTAGAGGATAAGATCCCATATAACAAAAAAAAAAAAACAAAACACAATTTTTTTGCTTTGAATACGCAAAAATTATGTATTGAAAATTTTGCTAAATATTTGAGGAAAATGAGTCTGGGGCGTTTATCTTTCCTCCTGTTAAATTAAAAAAACTTGACTTAGCAAATTTCCACTCTAAGCTATATCGCTAATTTGAAGTTTATTGACTGCTAATGGAAGTGAACAAAAAGCAATAAAATTTTAATATAATTAGTAAATATATATGTATGTATGCCGCCATGGATTTTTCCTTAAAAAATAACTGCTGCATACATATTTTAAGTTTCTAAATATTTTCAATAAATTTCTAAAATGTCAAATTAGAAATTCTTTACTTTTTTGAAAAATTTGTAAAAAAATTTCGATAACGATGAAGATGTGTATTGATAATTGTTATTTTTTGGCCCAACAAATAAAATTAAACAAAGACGGTCTAAAGAAAGAAAAAAATATCGATAAATATCTAAAAGCCAATAATATATAGAGATTTAAATATTATAAGATATATAATATATTATATATACTATATATATATGTATGTTTTTATCGATATTTTTGGACAACGGGAACGGTCTCGGTGAATGCCAGCGTAAACAGTTCGCAAATAAATCGTTTTATATATTGATAATTGTGTCGATGAGTATATTTACACAAAAAAAAAGGATAAAACCATTTTTAAACGAATCGATAATTATACAAGTAAATGCATTTACAGCAATGAATATAGAAAAATGTTTCTGAGAACTATATTAAGAAATATTGCGAAAAATTTATCGACATCGATAACAGTTTCGAAAAATAATCGACTAAAATAT